CGAAAGAGACAACCTTCGTGAAACAATGGGGAAGTAAACAAGGGAAGGAAAGAGAGACCCTTACCCATGACATCACTGAGCATCCAAATGCTCTCTCAGCTCTGCATTCCTTATGTTACTGCTCAACAGTTCAAGGGACTAACAGCTTTCTGAAAACACTGGCTCCTTTCCAAAGAACTGGCAGGCAGGGAGATAATACACATGACCTGACTGAAATACACTGAAGTCAGGGACATTTGCCTTGTAATGAGAAAATACTCAGAAGAGGACTGCCTGCTGAAGTACATTAAGATTCATAAGAAAAAATTAGGCCTGAAAGACTTAGAGGTTTGCCAGGTAGAGACAAATCATACGTGCACAGTTGCCCCGCCTGATATTTGCAGCATGGAGAAAGGGGAACACAGGTCCAGAGGATGTACAAATCCTTTACAATTCTAGTAGAGATGCTCTCAAAAGATTTGGATGAAGCTATTCATGTATTTTATTTATCCCAAAATTTTGTATCTCATTTCTAATGTTTAAGCAAAAGTCTGTCGCAAATATGCTGCAGAACAAAGAATTAGGCGGTTTCAAATACATTCAAAATAAAGCAGACATCTTCTAAAAACATCTTATATGGGATATTTTCAAGGCAGAGCTGTAGGGAATGTGATGGTAGACTTCCAGAAAAATGCAGGAGCCATCATTTCAAAAGATTTCCTGATTTTTCTACCTCTGACAAGTAAATAATGGTGTGAGACCCTTTTGGGGAAGTGGGAAGAACAATCATCTCTCGAATTTTCCTAGCAACCTATGGCAATGTCTTAACCATCTCCAGTTCACAGATGACCTAGCTGCAGGTTTCCCCATCTTATGTCATAAAGGACACATGAAGGACAAAAGGGTGCATACTGGCTACGTCTTTGAACTGACCAGGAAAAATTACAGCTGGCAGCCTCAGAGCCAATCAAACTGAATTTAATCTTTACAGGTTTAGACTCATGACCAGTTAGTAGCAACCGCTGCATTTATAGAGCACTGGGAACATCGCAAGGAGAGACACAGGCTCCCTTGTAGCTTCTATCCTCAGACCTCTTATACCAGGTGCCGCTGGTGCTCCAAGTAAATCTATTGTTTCAAAATACCTATGTGAATGAATAGATTTACTTGTTCTCTGAGCTCCAAGTAAATCTATTCATTCACATAGTTATTTTGTTAACTCAACGTTCACAGAATCTCTGGGATACAAGAGCTCTCAGGAGATTCTATGGTCCAACATACCTATATGAGGTGCCTAACCAGTGTCACACTCTTGAGTGGCAGACTGTGTCTGGACCCTTCTTCTCTCAGTCTTATGCCCTCCGCAATGACCATGATCATCACCAAGATTTTCATTGGTCAGAAAATGAATACACAAACATTTGAGTCTTGGTATCAGGACTCAAAAAAAAATACATCAAATGTCACCTTTAAAGCAGTAACAATGGTTTCTATTCTTGTTTCCAACTCGATTCCTCTTTAGGCTTGGTAATGACGACTCTGAAAGCCAAGAGTCCCAGACTCTACTGCAGAAACACCAGCATGACTTTCTGTGAAACTCCTAATAAATAATTCAGTATTGCCTTGAAGCCACTGAGTAACTGGAAATAATTTAGAAGCTGGTGTCTCAAATCATTACTAAATACACCCACACGAGTGTACTATTTCCCACGAGAATTGTTAAAAGTTCCACCTAGCAAGTCCACAGTAAATTGGCATCTGGTCCCTGCCAGGTAACTCACATCAAAATTGTTATCTTTTAAAAGTCCGTTTTCAGCCTGCCTTCTCCAAGCCCGTCTAGTAGTTGCCTTCTAAAGGTCCAGTTCAAACCCAGTAGGCCCCCTGATGGACAACAAAGAGGAAAACAGTGGTGAAAATAGAGTCACAAGCACCTAAAGGATCTTTTACAGGGTATGGCATAGCCGTTTGGCCAGTAAAGCATTGGGGAACAGGCCTTCATTTATATTCTGAGTTTTTGAACACACTGACGAAAAGGGAATGGCCATTTATGGGGCCTCCATAACGTACTAGGCACAATGTATGCCGTTTTCATATTTCAATATATCCTCCCAACATCCCCTAGATAATAAACCCTACTTCACAGATGTGAGGCAAGTGAAGCTTCAGTCATGGGGCCTGAGTAAGGTCATTCAGCTAGAAAGCATCTGAAGTAGAATTCAAATATATCGATTTCCCAAAGATCATATTCTTTTCACATCATACGCCAAATCTCCTAAGCAAGAACACTACTGACATGTTTTAAGTAAGGAGCCAATGGAAAAGTATTTCTCTTATGACTACCGGGTGAGGCTCCTCTTTAACTAAGCAACAGACCAGAGGCTGAGTGGAGTTAGTGCCCACAGGGCAGGCCAAACTCTCAGCCCATTTGTTTAAAGACGGCATCAAAGGCTGTTCACCATGACCAGGTAAGGACTGTTCAAATACCCTGGGCAGGCAAGGCTTCCTTAGACCAGAGAGTACAGAAAATTACTTACTGAAAGTCAACAAGATTTTAATGATGAAGAAGAGCATGGACTCGAGCCAGGCTGCCTGGGCTTAAAATCCCACCTCCTGTTTTGCTCCAAATAGTCCAATGCATGTGTGCACATGAAGGTGTCTGGATGTGAGGGCAGTACAGATGGACGGGCAGGGGTGGCCGGGTAGTGGGGTTTGCTGAGGCATGCTGCGTATATTTTTGTGTATGTTTAAAACATGTCATAACAAAAGCTTAAGAATAAACAAACCAGGCTCCTCCACTCACTAGTTATGTGACGTGGACAGGTTTCCTGGTCTGCCTCAGCTTCCTCATTTTTAAGACTGAGCGCTAATCGTACATATCTCATGAGGCTGTGTGAGACATAAATACATGTGAAATATCAAGCTACTTTTGTTTATATAGTAACTATGAGTAACTTGATTTGGCTTTACAAATACACTATTTCAACTTAGCCCTTCCTACAATCCTATGAGGCAAGATAATCTCTAAGTGGACTCAAAGGGGTTCCAGCAGCAAAATCTGCAACAAAACCCACGTTTGTTCTAAAAGCCTTATTGTCTACTAGAGGGCTCACCTTCCTAAAAGTGTCTTTACCAGTTCTTTACAGACAGGGAAACAGATTCAGTGGGGTTAAGTAATTCACAATGCTGAGTGGTAGCCTGGGAACTAAATGCAGATCAGCGAATTCCAAGACACGCAGACTGGGCTCTTTCTGCTGGCGCGGGCGGAGTGTCCTTGATCCATTCTCACAGCATCTGCCCTGGGAAGGGGACTCGCCAGCCGCCCAGCGGCCGCTGCAAGAAACAGGGATGGCCGCAGATACCTTCCTCCTCCCTCCGGCCCCTGAATGAGCCAGTCCTTGGGGTAGTGGCCTGCCGTCTTTCTCAGACCAGCAAGCACTGACGCTCATAACAGAACCAAATAAAACGAAAACAGAAACCTTAGAAGGACTTGATGCTAGCAGCCTCTGAATTTGGTAAGTATTTTAGCGAATCTCTTTCCAGGGCCATGGGCCCTTGAGCGAGCATGAGGAGGTACCAGGTCTCTCTGAGACCAGCTCACGGAGCGGGCTGCAGAGCTCTGTCAGCCTGCTGAGTCCAGGCTCTCCAGGCATCAGCCAGAGAAGTCTTTCCTTTCAATAGCTGCTTTGTCCTTTCTGAGAGACTCACTCCAAGAAGCCCCAAATCTCCACTAACAGCCTCTGCCATCAGTGAGCGAGTTGCGCAGCCACCAGGATTAGCAGAGCACTTCTCTCCCCACAAATCTCCATAATCAGCAACGACAGGAGAACAGACACCCTCAGAACAGTAACCATGAATCTGACTTCCAAAAAGGGGCTGCTCCATCAGGAAGCAGGACCGCATAAGCAGTGCTGTTAGAATAAAATCAGGCAACCATTCCAGCCAATTTGCATTGAAAACTCAGCTGGAATGCCAACAATTTGCATCCTTTCGGTTAAGAACAAAATCAAGCCTGACCTTTACTTCCAGGACCACTCTGTATTGCTGTTTGCACAAACATATGGAATTAAAGTAGGAAAAACTAACTGGGGTAAAAATCACCTGTGGTCATATTCCAATTAGAACTCTCACTTCATAAAGCAGGCCAATTAATCCATCCTTTCTGTCCCTCTCCATCTTAAAATCATCATCAAAAAGCATAATTTTACTCGCAAATGATGAGCAGAGGGAGTGCTGGGGAAGGTGGAGAGAGCCACAGGAGAAAGGGAAGGGGAGGGGAGAGGGAAGAGGGGCAGACCCGGGGGCAGGGGGAGTCCCACAGACAGCACCTCCTGCAAAACATGATAAGCATCCAGTTTAAGGCTATTATCTCCTTTATTCAAAAAATAAATATTTCACTTTGATTCAACATATTTCAAATCACATTAAGCACAGAGAAGGAATACAGTCCCTTTGGAGATTGTGAACACGTGCTGGAAAGAGGCATGATCCAAACAATGGGAATGAGGTGAGTGCGGATTCCAGCTGCTTCCTGACCCAGAGGTTCCGCCCCCCTCTTCAGGTGGAGCTACTTAGAAACACACACAAACACACACACACACACACGCTTTGAAGTCTGAAAGGCACATGAAGTGGACCATAAGGTGTATGGCACATTCACTGATAAAACATCCCCTATTCCCTCCCAAGAAAAGCAGAGATACTTTAATCAAGTCAAAGATCAGAAAAGACAGGGTGCTCCTGCTTATAGCTCAGCAGCATGAACATCTCTGAATATGAAAGCCATTTTTTGTTTGCTTCCCCCCTCCCGCACCTCCTCTCCCTGCCGATGGGGTCTGCGGGCCAGCTGCAGGGCTCACTCGGTGATGGTGGGGCGTGTGGCCACGTACACAAACACCACGATCAAGAGCACGACCACGGCCAGCGTGGGCAGCACCACCGTGGTGATCTGCTGCCGGGCCTCCTGCATGGCTTGCTTCCGCTCTTTCTTGTCCTTGGAGGTCTCCTTCTTGGGCTTCCCTTTGAGCTGCCGCATCTTTCCTAGAGGATGCTAGGAGGGTGTGTCCAGAGGGATTCCAGGAAGGGCCACACTTGTCAAGGCTGGAACCTCCTGTAGGGGGAAGAACCATGACGGTCAAGAATAAACCAAGTGGAAGAAAAAAGAAATCATAAAGTTAAAGGCAAAAACTAGGAAAAATATCTGCAACTTACATGACAAGAGGCTAACAGAGGCCACACCAGGCTCTAAGTTCCCTTGGGATTAGCCCCCTAAGTAGTGGGCACTGGGTCGCCGGTATGCTGTGAGAGGGGCCTCTGCTCCAGGGGCAGCTGGACAAGGTCCTGGATACCAGACAAATAATACTGTGTTCTGTGCATGCCACGAGGCGAAAGGATTGGGAAGCACCAACGACGCCGCCTCCACTCAGAGAAGTGGCTCTCCCTTTCATGGCTCAAGCCACTTGCTTTCCTGCTCTAAGTTCCATGATCTCCCCAGCCAATCTCCAGCATGGAACTGCAGGCAGCCTGCAGTCTCCAGGCACACAGCGCCCCTTCTGCCCAAGCCAGGCCAGCCTCATTAAGGCTGCAGAGAGCCCAGGGCATCAACCTCTCTCATCTCTTTGTTGGTTCTCCTTGGCCCATTCATCCAAACCTTCCCAAGCACCCACCATGTGCCAGGCATTGCTCAAGGAGCTGAGGATAGAGACGAAGGACTCAGTTGTGTCCCCACAGAAGTCACAGTCTAGGGGGAATGATGGAGACCTCAGTCACGATAACACTGAAGGGAGACGGCTAAGCCCACAGTCCTGCTACCTGCTCAACCTGGGATTCTCGTGTGAATTCTGTGGCTTGCCGAGGTGCCTAAGAGGTGAATTAGAACTTTCAGGGGCCTGAGGAATGAATAAAAACCTTTGGAAAACTACAGAGAAACATCTCTATTAAATAAAGTTGGATTCTTATCTTTAAGCAAATGAAACAGACTTCAGCTGATTTAAATTGAGTTTACTTAAAGGCCTTTGGCATCTCACTGATTGCCAGAAAAGCCAAAGAAGGAAGCTCAGAAAATGGGCAGGACACTATGCTGTGCTGCCGTAACTGGAGCCCAGCTCTCACACTCCCAGTGTGAGGATGCCAGAGCCTGTGTCACCACCCATCAGCACTGGAGCGGGACGTGCCGAGCCACCATGACCGCCCCTAAAAACTAGATGTAGCTGCTGGCATACTCTCCACATGAACTCACCGCCACCCGGCTTTCTGCATTACCGGCTCCCATGCATGTGCAACTGGCCAAGCCCAGGCCCATATGCCCACAGCCTACCCTTCCAATTTGGACATCGGGAAGAGTACTTTCTAAATACAGTGAAGGAGTGGGGCAGATGTCCACTGTAATATCCTGGGAGACCAGCACAGAGTTAGCAGTTCTTGGAAGCAGAAGAGCACTGTATACCAATGTTGTATACTGTCTGCCCTGTTTTTTCCCAAGGTAGTGGGTGGCCTGTCATCTTCTTGAGGAAGAAGGTGACATTTACACCTAAGTGACCGTGGCAGGTGGCAGAATGTGGATTCTGAGTTGGGAAAGGTCTTATTGATACCATCCTGTTTTTTATGATGGATCCTTACTCTTTTACCATTCCTCTCATTCCATTTTGACCCCAAAACCTTTTTTGGATCATTCACAATCAGGCAGAGTTTGCCAAGGTATGAGACGACAAATATTATAGTGCCAGGATGGCATTAACGCCAATCAAGAGCAAATATTAAGGGAAGCATCGCTTGGCAACAGTATAATTTCCTTCATGAATCAGGAACAAAGAGAAAAAAAAAAAAACCTACTATTACTTTCTTAAGGCCTGAAAGGTTTAAGAACCCCAGGCTCTACCAATTCTCCTTTTCAAGTCTTCCAAAGGACTTCCAAACACACTTGCCTTCAAATTCAGGGCATCACTTACAAGCTAAATGGCTTTGGGCAAGTCACTTAACTCCACCACGCCATCATCTGAACAAGGAGAACAGCTTGTCTTAAAGGATGACTGCAGAATCTGGAAAGCAAATGCATCTGTACGCAGAGCTCTGCCCGCCTGTAGGGATGTGGTACCGACAGGCTGAGACAGCTCCACCTGGTACCCGGGCAGCCGGGGACGGGAGCACTGAGCTCCTCTAAGCCTGACTGCCCACCTTCACGGGACCATGGTAAGGATGGAACAGGAAGCTGTATAACTCAAGGCTGGGCACAGAGCGGATGCTGAATTCATGCTAGCTGACATCCCAAGACCTGGAACGCACCCCAACGGCCCTGTGAGTTGAACAGACAGGATTTATTATCTCCATCATAGAAGGGAGGAAACCAAGGCGCAAAGAGGAAAAATGTCTTGCCAACAGTCACCCAGTTTGTAAACACTCCATGGCTTCTAACAGAGCAATGGAGAGCATTCCTGTTCAAGGCTGCAAACAGCAGCACATTCTCTCTGACACAGACACAAAAAATCGGACACAGGGAGGAGAGCACTACACACTGGGGTCAGTTGGGAGGAAACAGGGGAGGGACGGTGGGGGGTGGGGAGCTGGGGAGAGATAGCAAGGGGAGAGATGCCAGAGGTAGGTGATGGGGAGGAAGGCAGCAAATCACACTGCCATGTGTGTACCTATGCAACAATCTTGCATGTTCTTCACATGTACCCCAAAACCTAAAATGCAATAAAATAAATAAATGGGAAAAAAAAAAAAGAAGGCATTAGCAGCACTCTGATTCATGGCCATTTCCTTGTGGAGCTAATGGCCTGTCGGAGCCCACTGCTGTCTCTCCCAAATCCCTCACAGGACTGGCAGGTGATATCCCGGGGCTGGGGCTAGCCATGCCCTGGCTGTCTGGCTAGCAGTGCTGGGCCTGACTTCCCTCCTGCACTTCAAGCTGCTGTCTGCATCCACCCACATATGTGCAGTTGACATTCAAAGGCACCAGCCTCCGCGATGACCAGTTCTCAACATTTGTAAGATGCATTCAGAAGTTCCTGGAGACATGGAAAAAAGCCTCGAGCTGCTGGAGCTGGGGCAGTCTGGTCAGGATTTAAAGGGCAAACATGCCCATGTGAATCCTGGGTGCTTCATGAGGCTTCAGGAGGCAGCCCTCTGCTCTCACTCACCTGTGACCTGGGGCAGCAAGGGAAAGCATCTCCGATATAACAACTGGGGAGGGGACCCTACGGTGAAAAGGGAAAAGCCAGGAAAAAAGCTGGGAAGAGCACCAGGCAGAGGGCACAGTGGCCTGAGCCAGGCAGAGTGGCCTGAACCAGTCAGGGCAAGGCTTACGGAGAAGGGAGAGGAAGGAGGCAGATTCTGGGGAAGGGAGGAGAGGGAGGAGCAGGGGCACTGCAAGCCATGGCAGGATTATTTCAACAACAGTAGTAGGTGCTGAAGGGCCTTCTGAAGGGAGATGCCGAAAACTCCCTCTGGCTGGTCAGTGCGGAGTGGATGGAGAGGGAATGCAAAGGGAAGCTCTGGAGCAGTCTGGGAGCAGGGGTGCTGGTGGTGGCTTGGACATGGGGAGGGTCAGTGGTGATGAAGAGGAGGATGGAGTAATGCTCTGAAGGTATAAGGGACAGGCCCCAGTGACTGACTGGACATGGCAAGTGAGGGAAAGAGGGACGCAAGAACGAATCCAAGGTCTGGAGCTTGCGCCACCACGTGGGTGGTGATTCCATCTCCTAAGGAGCAAGAAGGGGCATGGAGAGGAGTGGGCACTGGGGAAGGGCGGAATGAAGAAGTGCACTGAGTGCTCTGTGTATACCTCTCTGCATGTGAGGATGCCTTAGATGATGTCACGGAAATAATACCAAGAAGGCGATTGGATAAATGAGTCCGGAGCTGGGTCTGGGCTGAAGGTCTATATTTAGAAGTCACCAACTATTGGATTAAGAGAGATCACGGCCAAGGCAGGCAGAGAAAGGGCCCTGGACTGAGCCCCGAGGCCCTCTGACAGCTATAGGGCAGGAAGGGGAAGAGCAAGCAGGGGGTACTCAGAGAAGAGGAGTGAGGAAAAAGAGAATGTGCCGTCGTGGGGACCAAGACAGTGAAGAAGGTCAACTGTCAGAAGAGAGAGGCACTCGTGCCAGAACATAAGCGAACACACTGCTTCCTTCCTCGAGAACATTTGGCCAGGGAAAACCCATCCGTGGCAGGTGCTCAGTGCAGAGCTGGCCGACACTCTGCTGTAAGCCCCTCCATCTTCCGGTAGCTTGTGATGACGGGTCTCTCTGCATGCCAACGTGCCAAACATCACCAGGGCAGACAACTGCTTTGAAGTTCTGTGGGAAGTGTGTGTGTGGCCAAAAGGGTTTTTCTTTCTTTTTCTTTAAATAATAAAGAGAAACTACAGAATGATGTTTGAGGGGGCTAAGAGAATGGGAGAAAACCCTGACGCTGAAAAAAGAAGAGGCCTCTGTAGGAGCAAGACAAGAAGCCCAGGGGACAGACCTGCCTTTCAGAGGCAAAGTACCCTTCAAACTCAACAGGAGGAGGCAGAAAGATAGCACTGGAGCAGCAAGGTGGCTCTGTACTGTGTGGGCTGGGGGACTAGAGGCTTCTGTTTTTTTCAGTGAAATAGGAGAGGGCTTCAGCTTAAAGTCTGGGAAGTTCGGAGGCAGGCTCGGGGAAAGAGAAACCAAGATGCAGTCACCTTCGGAGGGTGGAAAGGCAACCTTCACAGCGCACTGTCCATGTCCGCCTCCCTCTGGGCTAAGGACTGCCTCTCCATGGCTCTGGGCCCAGGGGCTGCACAGGGCGGCCTCCTGGCCAGGGCTGGCTCAAGCACATCTGCTAGGACCCCTGAAATGTGGGGTTGCCTAGAGGAGAAGCCAGGCCAATTGGCCTCTACTTCAAAAATCTAAGAGACATGAAAGGACACTGAAGTTGGACAATCACACAGATGTAGTCACCGGGAAAGCCAGGGGGGAGAGAGCCCTGGGGGCGGAAGCAGCACCCCTGAGAGGCCACAAAAGAAGCCTCCTCCACGCTCTCCTCCTTCTAGTCCAGTCCCCTGTGAGGCCCAGCTCTACACAGGCTCCTGTCCTCAGGGTATGCTGACATGTCTCTGTATAAGATGAACACCTCTTTCAACTTCAGCTGGCTCCAGGGGGTCTCTGTCCCTTCTACTGGAAAGAGCTCTGCCTAAAAACAACTGCTCCAGTTTCACGAGGAATCCTGCCACTGACACAAAAGAAAGGACTGGCAGAGTCACAGGTCAAACCCACATCTGTGACTCTGAAGCCTGGATAGTCCCCACCTTCCTGGGTGCACCCCATTTATCTTCCCGTCCTTCATCCACTTTGTGCCCCCATCATGGTTCAGCAGCCCCTTGCAGAAAGAAATAAATGAAGCTCACATGCTCAGCCTGGCTTCTGCCTTGCAAGGAGCTCAGGCAGGATGGAAGCTGCAGCCTCCAGCTTCTCAAATGCCACTGCCCCACCTCTAGCTTCCATAGCCCGGGAAACGGAAACTTCACAAATGCCTGAGTTCTAATGATTCTAATGAAACTCCGGCCACTATGCCCCTACCCCCCACCAGCACACACCCACGGCAACCGGTCAGCATGGGAACATTCCAAATGGTCCCCAGCATGTGTGGGCAGGAGACCAGAGGCAGAGAGGAGGAAAGCAGGACACATTCTTCAGCACAGAAGTGTTTGTGATTTGTTTCTGTGATTATAATTTTCCCATCTTTTCCTACTTATGTGTATAAAGATATGCATGTATGCACACATGCTAACTTCTTATAGGTACTTTTTTCCGATTTGGAGATTATAATGTACACAGTGTTAGATCCTAGTAGGGAAAGGTAGCAACACAGGTTTGAAATCGGGTTTGTGCCTCAGCTCTGCCCCATCTGGTTAAACCACCTTGGACAAGGTAATAAATCTCTCATGTCCCGACTCTCCTCCTCTGTAAAATGGGTAAGAAACCTGTTTTGTAGAGCTATCGAAAAATTAGAAATAATGTATTATCAGAATATGTAGTAGATGAACAGGCCATACCAGAGGCTCAAGGAATGGTACACAGTGACTTGCTGTCCAGGGAGGTGTGTCCCGTGGAGATGTACATGAATCTGGGAAGCACCAGGGAATTCTACTGTTTTCATCATATGACCCATGGATGACAAAATCCCCCAGTTTTTTCTCTTTTCCCTGAGTTACCAATCAGCTGTTGGGCGGGTCTGTTCAAAGGTTTGATGGGAGAAGGCTGGTTTAGGCTCTCAGGGGAAGGTTTAGGACAACGAAGATCACTCCAACTCCCGTCACCCCAGACCTGCTAACCATGTGCAGCCCAAGGCAGCAGCCACCAGCCACGTGTTGAACACTTGTAATATGGCTGTGGTCCAAAATCAGCTGTGCTATGGTATAAAATACAAGAAAGAATGACAAATATCTCATTCAAAGTTATTCATGCTGATTACATGCAGAAATAATATTCTGAACATACTGGGTTAAATAAAATCTATTATTAAAATCAGTTTTACCTGTTTTCTTTTTTCTGTTTTAATGTGGCTACTAGAAAAGTTCTAAATTCCGTGAGTAGCTTGCATTATACTTTTACTGGACAGCTTGCGCCATACAGTCAGGGGCTCACCCTGCCCTCCTGTAAGCTTTCCACATCATAGGCTCAGCCCACAATGCTGAGAACTCCCTAAGCCTTCACAGCCCAGCCCCATTCACTCTTTCCAGCATCACCACACCCAAATGACCCACTACTGCCACCACATTCGAGCATCCCCATGGGCTCGCACCTCCCTGCCTTTGCTGATGGAGCATCTCTGCTGGAATGCCCTTTTCCTTACATTGTCATCCACATGCGCAGTCTCTCATCCTTGGATAACCAGCACACGTGGCCTTCGCCACCTCCTCCAGGCAGAAGCAACAGCCACCTCCTTGGTGCTAAATCAGCACTTGGTTTATACCTTGACAGCAGTGCTGACTGGCAGCTACTGCCTAGCTGGCTGGAGCCTCTGACGTCTCCACTTCTCAGGGACTGCAAATGTGCCTTGCTGGTAATAATATTCTCCTGGGCTGGCATGATGCCTTTTATGTAACAGGTGCTCAACAAACATCTGCTGGACTGAATATCAAAGATGGAATATTTTAAGACAAGCAGTTCATCTTAGGCAACTAACCATTGGGTTAGAATAGAAAATTATGTAATAATAAACTAGCTAGCTGCCATTTATAAATACTTATTTCATTCCCACCACAATCATACGAGATTGATATTTTTATCCCCATTTAAATGATGAAACTGAGATTAAGTAAAGTACACTGTTGCCCAAGATCAAAGACTGCTGGGAACAAGCACAATCTCAACTCCACTATAAAACCTGCAATAAGCACTCATTAAATATTTAATGAATGACCAACTGAATGAGGGTTTTAACTTAGACCTCATTTCAAAGCCCATCTATCCTCTCTGTGTAACCCCACAGTGCCTCCCAGCCACCCCACAAATAAGAACAGCAGCTACCACTTCCTGAATGCTCAGTACCTGTCAGGCGACTGCACTGAAGCCCTCCACAACACGCAAGCCTCACAGCAGCCTTCATCCCCATTTTGCAGAAAAGGGAACAGAGGCTTAGAGCAGGCCTCAGGTGGTTAGAAAGCCAATAGTGCAGCTGGGATTCCAATTAAGCTCTGTCTGGCTCAGAAACTGTGTTCCTCCCACTCCACGCAGTTGCTTCTGGGAGTCCAGGCTATTCCCTACAAGGCATGTGGATCAATGGGATGCAGATCGAGAGTCCATGCCTGGTTCCTGGCTGTCAGCTCTGGAAGCTGAGGACACAGGGAGGAGTGTGAGAGGAACACAGGCCCTCTTGGTATGTCTCATTTGGCAGCAAGTAAAGTCTGTTGCTTACAATCAGGCTAGCCCTGATGCCTGGAAGGTGCTGCTGCAGGGCTGGGCAGTCGTTCTAGGTTAAAAGATGCATCACATCCTGCTTGAGTTCTCAGTGTGGGCCAGGCTGCTCTGACAGCCCCCAGGAAAAGTGCAACTCTCTCCACCCACTCCTACACTGCCCAGGGCCAACAGCACGGAGAGAGCCAAGGATGTCACAGGCTGTTGAAGGGGTACCTACTGAGAACAGCATGACCAGACCTGGAGTCCATGCTAAGTCCCTGCACATGTCAATTACATCCCACAGTATAACCCATGCGAGAACAGTAACTAGTCCCAGACAGCCAACCACTAGCCTATTCTCAATGCTGTTCTCCTTTTCTGAAGTGTCAAAGCTCTCCTGTCTTCAGAAAAAAAAACAGCTTAAGGTGCTCTCTAAGTGGCTGCATGCTTCTCCCACTTCAAAATCAGGAACACAAATTAACAAACAAGAAGGGTATATATGGGGAAAGCTCTACCATCCCTTCTTGTAGCTGTGTCGTTGTTACAACATGAAGCATTAGAAGGGCCAAAATATTCTATGCTTTATGCTATAAGCCCAGGGACGCTGCCCTGGATCCAGGGAGACATAAATTCTGCACTTGAGAGCAGCAGCTCTGCGGTTCATCAAGTGTGCTTGCTTCATTTTATGTCCCTGGTATTTAGTCATAATGGGTCTGTGATCACTTCACTCCAGTCTGCTGCAGAGTGGAGGCAGGGGGCAGGCAGGCTGCCCGGAGAATTGTGCAAGATAGGACTCCTGACACCCGCGAAGCACCTGCTGATGGCATAAGTGTCTTCCCCAGGAACATATACATCAACGACAGCCACACAGGTGCCAGCTCCACTGCTCCCTGCTACCGACAGGCTACAGGGGTCAGGAAAGCTCTCAACCTGAAGGCCAGTGGGTGTGTGGAGGCAGAAGGGATCACAGCTACAGACAGATAAAAGATACACACACACACACACACACTCTCTCTCTCTCTCTCTCCTCACACCAAGAGCAGAAAAAAGAAGAAAATGTTATTTGGTGGAAGTGGCAGCAGTATCGGCTACTCCCAAATAAAAATCCAGGAATACAAAAGAACTTCTGAGTGGGCTGCCAAATGACAGAGACATAAAAAGCTAGGGTTCTTAATAAATTAGATAAGACACATTTTTGGGGGCACACTTGGATTTACAAACTGCTTTTCTTTGCATTATTCATTTCATCCTCAAAGTAACTCTGTTATGTATAACTGTCCTTACTTAACAAGAAAAAGCAGCACATGGTAAGTTAAGTGCATGTCAGGGTACCAGACCCATCTTGGCAATTCTAGGGTCTGTGATCCTGGGCCAAGTAACTTAACCTCTTAAGACACTCAAATATTCTACTGTCAAACAAAGATAAAAGTATCTATCATTCAAATATTTTTTAAGCGTCCCCTATATGTCAGGGGACAATGTTGAGGATGCAGCTATGAACAAAATAGGCAAAAATGTTGCCTTCAGGTAATGAAGCAGTCTTCGTTCACAGGGAATGTGGAGAGACAGACAACTAACAAATGGATAGAGCATGTGTCAGAGGATGCTATGTGCTGCTGGAGGCACAGAGGCTGCAAATTTAGAGTAACTAATCAGGGAAGGCTTCATGAGAAAGTGACAGTGGGCCAGATGAAGGGACCTGTGCAGATTCCTGGGAAGATCTTCCAGGCAGGGCAGGACCTGGGCTCAGGCCCTCAGGCAGGACATCCTTGCACGTCTGAGAAGCACATGGGGGCCGGCAAGTCTGGAGAAAGCAAAGGCAAGTGCTGAGGGGTCAGAGCAGGAGCAGCGAAGGGTGAGATGGGCCACAGGAGGGTGCTGCTTACATTTTAAAAGAATTCTGTGTGGACAACTGACTGAAGCTATGAAAGGGCTGAGACAGGGAAATCAGGGAAGATGGTAATGAATTATTCAGGTGAAACCTGATGGTCCAGGATAGGGGCAAATGTGGTGCAAAGTGGTCTCATACCGAGTGCACTTTGAAGGCAGAGCCACACAATTCACCAAGATTGGAATTGGAGTGTGAAAAAAAGAAAAAGGACTAAAGACTCTCTGGCCTGAGCAACTGGAAGAATGGAGTTGCCATTGAGAGAGGTAGGAAGCTGTAAGGGGGATGCGTGGTGGGTGGGGAGAGCTGGAGTCTGACAACCTATCAGCCATCCCGAGTAGGGACACCAAAAGGCAGCTGGAGGCATGGGCCTGCAGTGCAGGGAGAATGAGCCGGAGACAGGACCTTGGGAGCTGTGGGCCCTTAAAGCCAGGAGGCTGAGTGTGTGCAGAGTACAGGACTGAGCCCTGGAGCAATCCAACTTTGGGGAGTTGAAGAGGAAGCAGCAAAAGACTGAAAAGGGAGTCAAGAAAAAAACCAGAAGAAGATGGTGGCTTGGAGGGCAAATGAAGAAGGCGTCCTGAGGAAAGGGAGCTGGCCATTTGGTTTGGCCACATGCGGGTACTCCATGACTTGCAGAGAAGTTTTGGTGGAGAGCGGTCAGAGGCAAGATTGGAGTATGCTCGGGGAGGTTGGGAGCACGCAGATGGGAGGTGGTGAGGACAACTCTTCTTCGGACTGCAGTAACAAGAGCACAGGGAAGGCTCCGGGGCAGTGCTGGGCTGAAATCCTAGTTCTGCCACTTACAGGACCTGCAACCTCAGGCAGGTCACTTAATCTTTCTGTGCCTCAGATTTCTCACTGGGGCTAATAACTGGACCTAGCAAACTGATACACAAGAACAGTCACTGGTACATATTAGGTATAACTATTGGCTGTCATCATCATCATCATAAGGAATAATGACAAAGTAATTATGTATGAAAAATAACTCCTGGAAGAAGAGCATCCACTTAGGAGGCACGGAGAGGAGGGAGATGTTGGAAGTCTCGAGAGAGAGAAGCCACAAGCAGCTGTCCAGGAGGCAATGAATGGATGGGAGGAGTGGCACGCACACGCCAGTGGCTCAGGTCCACTGCAGTGGAGGCCACACAGATTGCAGCAGGCAAGTCAGGATGGCACCAACCGCCCAGGCGTAGGCACAGAAAAAGTACAGGGTTCCATTTAACCAGGGATGGCGTTTTATCAGGCCGATATAACAAAGTAAGAGAAGGACAACGTAAGGATGACATGAAATTACAAAAGAAAAGTGTCTGGCATAGGCACAGCGCCTGAAATCTGACCACTGTTCAAGAGCTTAAGTCACGTGTCCAAGGAGCCCCCTCTCTCCACACCTGTCCCTCACTTGTCCCCCCACACCCTTCTCCCCTTCCATCCCCAGTGCAAAGAGTTCAGGACCAGACAACAATGCTGGACTCTCAACTCTGCTCTTTCAACTAAGCCACATCCCTCCCTTTCCAGTTGGAAGTGTTGTCACGTCCCTCAGGCCAAGTTGTGACAAGGTGCCTCCCTTGTCTGTGAGAATACTTTCAGGCTCAGGGAAATCTAGAGACCAAAGCAGCCCATGTAAGTGCAGGCTGGTCCTCATAAGCTCCTTCCAAGAGCCGGGAGCAAAGGAGGCTCCTCCTGCCTTGAGGAAAGGCTGCCTTTTAAGGACAGGCCCTAAGATTGCCGGAAATCCTCCAAGTCCTCACAACCAACTCCTCTCATGGAAGGTGGTTAGGAAAAAGGAGGAAGCAGAGCTTTTGAACATAACTTGTTATTTAACCCTGAATCCTGGAATCAGAGTTGAATTAATAGCCATCAGCAACCCAAAACACAGCAACTTTGTCTTTAACTAGTTCACCTGAAGTAAATTCAACCATTAAAAGGACAAAAATGGTAACTAAATAAAAAAGAAGTCACTTGAAATTCCTGTAAGAGGCTCCAAAACAATGGCTTTTGAAATGCTTATGATGTGCAGAAAGAATATAACAGCAGCACGCGCAACACAACTGAAATCAGTTTTAGAAAATATGTATGCTTATACACTCTGATATTTCATTTCATTTAAAAAAAAATGCTGGTTGCGATTCACAAAACAGATTTTACAATCAGTCAAGGAGTTGAGACCTGCAGTTGAAATACACTGGACTAGGCTGACCTATCAGTGAAGTCTCTCATAGACTTCATATATTTAATGGTTAAGTCCCAATAGTTAAATGGCCCAGGTGAGGTTGTGGAAACACTAGCTCCAGAGGTCTATATATTCAAAGGGCATAAATTGCAGGTTGAAGAAGTGCTA